CATGCCGCTTGCATAGTGCCCAATGCACCAACTTGACGAGCGTGTCATGCCGTTCGATATACAGTGTTTTGGCTAGAGCTGGGCAACAGGCCACAATGTGATCAACTGTTTCTCCGCGAGTGCCGCAAACTCGACAAATGTCCACAACGTCTCCCCGTCCAATGACCGTGACCTGATAGTGCCTGGTCGCAATGGCCTGATCCTGTACAGCCAGCAAGAGTCCCTCTGTCGCAGGCCTGATCGTTGGCGATTTCAGCCAGCGAAAGCTCAAGCCCAGGTCCAAGCCAGCATCAGAAGCTCGTCTCCAGAACTGGCCATGGAGAGGCTTACCTTGGATAACGGCCAGGCACCGGAGAGCAACGGCCTTCTTGACAATTACTTTTGTGGCAGTCTCCAAGTCGGGTAGGTCAAGTTCACCCAGAAGTCTGGAGGCTTGACGTGTAACTGATTTTGACGGTGCCACATCATTGTCGTGATGGCGCTTAACAGCAGCCAACAGTGGCACGTTTGGGTGGGCTTGTAGGTACCGCGCCACCCGGACACGGGTTCTATCCTGGAGATCCCGGAATGATAGAATTCCTCGACCACCCATGTCACGAGGCAGGTGGACCCTGGCGGCAGAGTCCTTGGGGTGGCGGGCGTGTGCTTTAAACAGTGCTTGGCGGGTCTGTCGGTCGAGTTCCTCTATCTCTGCCTTTGTCCACTCAACGATGCACAGAGAGTAGAGGATGACTGGAATGGCAAAGGTGTTGATGGCTTTGACCAAGTTCCTGGCGTTCAATTGAGACGAGCATATCAATTGAAGGCGGCGGCCGAACTCAGCCTTTGCTGTGGTCTTCAATTCGGTAGCGTGAAAATGTGCTGATTCCGGGACACCAAGGTACCTGTAGGACTCCTCCGCCTGCAGCTTAGCAATGGCGTGACCCTGGAGTGTCTGGAGAGCAGACTGCTGATCGCTCTGGGCTCTTCCCCGTTTCATGGTGAGCCAGCTAGACTTTGATGGGTTGAATCGCATACCAATGCAGTCGCCCATTGACTCCACAACATTGGTCATGGAGAGCAGATTATTGTCGTTTCGGGCGAAGAGCTTCATGTCGTCCATGTACCACAGGTGCGATACAGGGCACACCTGGGCCGGTGGGCCACAGCGGTAGCCAAGACCCGTCCTGGTCAACTCGCCACTGATCGGATTTAGAGACAGGCAAAATAGCAGTGGAGAAAGGGAATCGCCCTGGAAAATGCCACGGTGGATAGATATTGGGCGACTGAATGCACGGGGTGTTTGACCAGGCAGTACCATTTGCGTTCTCCAATGATCCATCATGCTTGAGATGCATGAGACAAGATTGTCTGCAAAGCGGTAGATCAACAGGCATCTCCGGATCCACTGGTGAGACAGGCTATCGAAGGCTTTGCGGAAGTCCACCCAGCACGTCGAAAGATTCCGACTACGGGATGCTGCATCCTCTAGAACCATCTTGTCGATCATTAGTTGGTCAAGGCATCCACCACGCCCTGGAGTACAGCCAACTTGCTCATCTGCAAACATATCCTCTGAAGACAAATGGCGCCACATGGCAGCAGCGAGTAAGGATGTGAATATCTTGATAATCGTTGGCAGGCATGTTATTGGGCGATAATTCTCGGGCCTAGAAAGGTCTCCTTTCTTAGGCAGTAGAGTGGTGATACCAAACGAGAACCAGGCCGGCGACTCTGTCTCTGCATCCAGGATTGATTGAAAGGAGACCACAATACGCTCGTGGATAGACGAAAACTTCTTCCACCAAAATGCATGGATCTTGTCCCGTCCTGGGGATTTCCAGTTGTTTGATTTCTTCAAGATGTCCCTGAGGTCCTCCAGTTGAAGAATGACACGGTCTTGTTGTTGAATCTCCTCACAGTCCCTCTCCAAATTATCAAGCCAAGCACCGCCACGCAGCTCCACGGGTTCTTCCAGTATAGATGACCAGAACTCAGTAACAGCCTCAGCCGATGGATGCGCAGCAGCCTGGTCGACAGGTGGCTGCCCAGGCATTTCCGTAGACTTGGTCATATTGCGGTAGAACTGACGCTCATTCGTGACGAAAACACGATTCTCCGACCTGCGTGTTGCCTCTAGCTTATAGCGCCGGATCCGTGCGGCTGTTGCTTCTAGCTGCATTTTCGTATGCTCCAGTAGCTGGCGGGCCTGATCCAAAGTCTGGACTTTATATTGCCGGTGGATCCTGTGCTGCTTGATGTTGGTGTTAGAGAGGGATCCATCACGCATGAAGCTGGTCAGCCGGGAGACGTCAGCCCTCAGTGCACAAACACGTTTTTCAAGGCGTTGTCGCCAGGCAGGCAAGGAGCATTTTCCTCTAGCTGTGTCAGGGGTACCATCGGTATTGATATCCAGCAGTGAGAGTACAAGCTTGGCCCCAGCATAGACCATGTCACTGATCTGGCCAAGCGAGGTGGTGTCATCTCGCAACCCACGGTCACACTCCAGAAGTCTAGGGAGTATCTTGTTCACACGAGCAGTGGCAGAGGCCAGAGACTTCCTGGCCACGTGCCCAGGTACTGGTAGGCTCGACCTGGACTCTGGAGTAGTTGCACCGCACTGTTCGTAGATTTCAACAAGTTTGGCGTAAAGTGGTGTACTGTCTGGCTCGAACGCACCCAGGGTGTCACTAGCGTTGGTGCCAGTTTGCATTGCTGCGCCAGTGCCATCACCCGAACCACCTGATGTAACTGAGGTGTCAGGACTAGCTCCACGCAAACCTAAATCAACAGAAGCGTCCAGCAACTCACTGTGGGTGGCCTCAGCAACGTCCGGGCTAGTCACCATGCCGTCACACGAACCAGGCACCAAGATCGACGCACCAGACTCACCCAAAGCATTCGCCTGCGGCAGCTCCGCAGGCACAGCGTTATCAGTGCCAGCCGTCACGAGCAATCCGTCCCTTCCGAGCCGAGCCTTTATCTCATCAAATTCGATGTCGGTAATCTTTTTTGTTCTTTTCACAAACCTTAGCTGGTCCATGAGGTGCTGCTTAGACAACGGTCGGTGGGGGCGCAGCTGAGTCCATACCATCAGCATCCGGTCTCCGTACACACGTACCGTACCGCCGACTGAGGCTATAAGATAACATCTTGCAACATCTTCGTTGTCCTGTCGGCTCCATTTCAACCTCCTGTTGGCTGGCTCGGACATACACTAACGGCAAATACTACACAAAATGATAGACAAGGGCTACTTGACACGAGGAATGCAACAGTGGGAAAAGCGAAAAGGAATAGGAGCGGGCAGTATGTGGAGAAGCCCACTCTGCCAGAGCTCCTATTTTTCAAACTTGCTTCTGCATTATTATTATTAGTATTATTATTATTATTATTATTATTTGCGTCCACCCGCCTGTGTGGATTCACAGGAAGTGTGAGTTACGAAGTCTGAAGAGAATGTTGAACGGCCTCTGCTGGGATGACGACTACACCATAGCTCAGTGGTTAGAGCATCGCTGACTACAAGCGAGGGTCCCTGGTTAGCGTCCTGGTGGTGACAGTCAATTTTTTCTTCAGACTTTTCCCGTTTGTCTCTTTCCCTCAAACCAGTTGATATTTTAGGACTTGGGGCTCCCCGCGTGCTAGTTTGTACGTGAAGTGTGTGGGTTACAGTGAGGGCTGCGTCCCACCCGCCTGTGTGGATTCACAGGAAGTGTGAGTTACGAAGTCTGAAGAGAATGTTGAACGGGCTCTGCTGGTATGACGATGAGATGACGACTACACCATAGCTCAGTGGTTAGAGCATCGCTGGCTACAAGCGAGGGTCGCTGGTTCGAGTCCTGGTGGTGACAGTCAATTTTTTCTTCAAACTTTTCCCGTTTGTCTCTTTCCTTCAAACCAGTTAATATTTTATGACTTAGGGCTCCCCGCGTGCTAGTTTGTACGTGAAGTGTGTGGGTTACAGTGAGGGCTGCGTCCC